TTGCACATCAAAGTGGAATATGTGTACCTACCATAGACGTGGCCCAGAAGGCCTCCTCCTTTGGTAATTTGGTAGCTGATGCAAACCTTGCATCTCTACCCTTATTAAGGCTTTGATAGACAGGCTGGATTAGCCCATTCTGGTGACCTTGAGAACATACAGTTATTAAATGTAATCAGCCAAGGACCAAAGCTCTCAGAAGCCTCTGAACTGAGGTCACCTGTGTCCTGGGTGCTGCCAGACAATGGCTGGGTTTGTCAGAGGTGCTAAGTAAATCTATTCCTTGTACCCCAGGACTTCCCTAGTGTCTAGTTTTGGACTGAGGGTTCCTTCTATGACCTTGTCAAGTCTGTATTCAGTTGTTTGGAAGTCTAGAATGTTTCCCTCCCCTTTGTCTTTCTTTCATTTGGTATCGGGCTGACTGCTTCTCCTTGCCTGTCACCACTCCCTGGCTTCTCCAGCTCACATTTGACATATTTCATCCTGGTAAAGCTCTAGTCTAGAGCATCTCAGCATATTTCTTGGAGGACTCCATTCTTACAATATACATACTCTTTCTGATTTTACTGTTACTGGGGCTTGAACCCCATTCTGATGCTCATGCCATTTCACTGGGACTCTGATTCTCTGGAACCATGCTTGGTTCTTAGCAGTGTTTCTTTTTCTACATTCAGGAGCTAGATCTTTCTGTCAATTTGTTTATGGCTAGAATTCTGTGAGCTAGACAGAGCCTTAAGCTCCACTAGCATGCCTTTCTTCTTACATAATGGCTATGGGTTCAACTGACCCTCTTTATGTAGCACTGGTCTTGGAATCCACAAAAAGTTACATGTACTCAATAATTAGAGCATCAATAACTGATATGAGACGTTGAAATGTTTTGTCTCTAGGGAAAGAGGTATTTGCAACTCTTATAAGGAATTCTTAGTAGTAATAAATTATAGATCCTTGCTTAATATTACTGTGAAAACAGAGGAGATATGGGTGTGCAAGGAATGCAATAACAGCAAACTATTCCAAAGATTACAGAAACTGAAAGGGAAATAGTAACTTCTAAGTGTCAGGGACCATTTGGACTCTCTACATACCTCTGTCACAGGTTCAATACAGAACTGAGGCTTTAATATATCAAATACCCACCTGATTATATAACCAACAGGAGGCTATACATTTTCACAGGAGAAGTATTATTACAGCTTAATCCCTTTCAAAGTTGCAGATCAACTTACCTTTCTGCATAGCCTTTTATGTTCAGGTCCTCATTCACAGGAAACCTGGTAACTCAATCTGTGGAAGGGAGTTGTGAATACAGTTGGTACAAAGGTCTTCAGTAGGCATTTTGACTACTATGGGATAGCTCAGAATAAGAAGGGGTGGTCAGAATTTCCTCTATTGCTCTTGTGCCAACCCAAGGGGACAGTCAGGGGAATTGAATGTTCAGACCACTGACGACCAACTGGAGAATTGCAGAAAGTGTCCGAAAGTGTCTCTCATCCAGCACAAGGCCAGCTCAGAAAAAGACTTCACCAATGTTTTCATGCAAAAATTAAAAGTACAGTTATCATTTCTAAAGTACATGCTGTGTTTCCCAGAGGTTTCCTTCTGACCTAGGACGCAACAATAGCAAAACCACAATCACTCAGAGGCCAGAGGGTAGTACTCTGGAGCTGTGGGAGACACAGAGGATATTTTTGTTGTTGTTGTTCATTTTTAATTAATTTTTTGCATTCCAATCCCAGTTCCCCCTCCTTCCTTTCTCTCCAAACCCTCCACTCCCCTCTACTCCCATCTGCTCCATGAAGAGGGTAAGGCTTCCCCTAGGAAGTCTACTAAGTCTGTCCCATCATCTAGTTAAGGCAGGACCAAGGCATGCACAGAGGATATTTTTAATTTCTCATTTTAGATGCTTGAGCTACCTCCAACATTTTGTTGTTAAGGACACTTTGCATTAGACAAAATTAGGGAGAAATAAGTGGTGTATTTGAAAATATTAAAGAACAGCAGAAGGCTTATATATCTTTTATTCATATAGACGATAATTACTTTTATGCATAAAGTATGTTGAGTCCTCACGGAGTCACAGTACTTCTTGGAGTACAAGCATGACACATACATGAACGGTCACAAGTAACACTGTTCCCTTTAAGCAGTTGTACTTAGGATCAGCCATATTTGTACTAAGACTCTAGCTTAGCATACCAGCCCTGCTAGGATCTGCTCACGCAGCTGTGGGTGCTCTCCTGTAGCCTCTACCCCAGGCTGGGCCCCAAGGAGCTCTGCCACCTCATTTTGACACTTGTCTTTCAGCTTCTCTTCCCTCTTGTAGAGTCTGACTCCAGCTTCTTCCCTGTCTCCAGGTGGATAATTCTGGTTGTTGCATTAATTAAATCATTTCATGTCTTCCTCTCTCCTTCTTTTGCTTCTTCCCTCCCTTGCTACCTATGAATCATAATTGTCTACATTTGTGGGTCACAGTGGAGGTACCTTGACATACATATCTAATGTAGCATGACCAAACTGATGGGCACATCACTGCATTTAAGCATCTTTTGTGGTGAAGCACTTTGAATGTAATCTCTTATTTTGCCCATCAGTAGACAGCCACTCCCATTTCACCAAAATGATATTTTCCCTCTTTTTGAAACAGACGCGAGGTGACATAATTTTAATGCATTTTTCCTCTATGATTAGTGATGCTGAGAATTTTTTTCACCTTCCATTTACAAGTCATGTGTATTGGCCATTTAAGTGTTTTATCTTGAGAAATGTCGATGTAAGACCCTCCCCATCCATTTCTTTCTTGCCATTGAGTTGCGTTCTTTATATACTTTAAATATTAGCTCTTTATTGCATGGATAGATTGCAGTTATTTTTTCCCATTCTACAGATTGTCTCATAACTTTAGTAGTTTCATTTGCTTTGTCAAAGTTTCTTAGTTTGATACCCCAAAGCCCTTAATTTCTTTTAGGAACACTTTTGTTTTAGCATAGAGAGTTATTACTGATTTTTTACATGTTTTTTTTGTATCCTGAGACTTTACTGGATTTATCACTTCTTGTTGGGTTTTAGTGGACCCTTCAGGGTTTTCTACCATGTCCTCAAATTGTGTGCTCCACAAATAGAGACAATTATTTGTCTTCCTATTGTGTTAGCATTTATTTCCACTTCCTTGTCTAGTGGCACTAGCTGTGACATTCACTAGTATGCTGAAAAGCACTGAGGGCAGACATCTTTGTCCCTGTCTCACCACTGAGCATGTTAGTTGTGGCTTGTTATCTGTGACCTTTGTTGTGTTGAAGTGTTTTCCCCTACCTAATATACTTAGGATTTGTTGAGAAAAGAAGTTGAATGTGTTAAATGTATTTTTCTATCTGACATGATTGCATGTTTTTTGTACTCCCACCAGTCAATGTGATGTATCTTATTTAATGATTTGTATATGTTGAACATTCCCTGCATCACAGGGGTAAAACGTGCTTTTGGTTAATTTTTTCATTTTTGCATGTATTTGTTTTGTGCGTATACATGTATACCCATGCTAAGGAGTGCGTGTGAAGGTCAGGGGATGACTTGGAGGAGTTCCATCTTCTATCATGTGGGTTCCAGGAGATGAACTCAGGCTAACAACCCTGGTGGTAAGCACCATTATCCATTGAGCCATCTCATCAGTTCATAAATTCTACTCTTTTAAAAACATCTATCTATCTATCTATCTATCTATCTATCTATCTATCTATCTATCTATCTATCTATCATGAGTGTTTTGCCTGTGTCTATGTATGTGTACCACATATATGTGGCAACCAGAAGGTGTTAGTTCCCCTGGAACTGGAGTGACAGGCTGTTGTGAGCTACCATGTGGGTGCTGGGAATTGAACCCAGGTCCTCCGCAAGAGCAGCCAGTGCTTTTAATTGCTGAGCCATCTCTTTAGCATCATAATTCTATTCTTCAAATGATATATAGTCTAGGGTAGCCTCAAACTCGAAGCACTCTTGTCTCAACCTCCAAAGTGTTGGGATTAAAGGCATGCACCACTATTCCTAGATACCTAATGTGTTCTTGAATTCAGTTTGCTAATATTTTGTTGAAGAATTTTGCATCTGCATTGATCAATGTTAATTGACTTTGTTTGGTAATGTTTTGTCTGACTTTATTGCCAGTGTACCTCTATCCCTGTAAAATGAGTTTGGAAACATTTCTTTTACTTTGATGTCTCTAAAAAATCCTGAGAAAATTGGCATTGACTTCTCAAATGAATTCAGCAGTGAGGCCACTTGGTCCTGGATTTCCTTTCATCACTGGTTTAATTGTCTTACTTATTATTTGCATTTTTGTCTTGTTTCTCTATTTATTCACTATTTAGTCATGGAAGAAAATATGTTTATACAGGATTTATCCATTTCTTCCAGATTATCCCATGTGTTGATATGTAATCATTTGTAGTGGTCTCTTAAAATCCTTAGAAGTATGGCATTACCTTTAATATTTTCTTTTGGTTCTGATTTTATTTTAACATATTGTTTCCTTATTATCTCTTTTGTCCTAGTTTGTCTAGCTGAATGGCTAGACCTAACCTAATCTATCTTTTAAAAACCCAATCTTTGTTGATTTTTCTGTTTTTCATTTTTACTCTGACTTTTGTTTAGTTCTTTTCTCATAACCATCTTAAGTTTAATCCTGTTTCTAGCTCTGTTAGGTGTGACATAGACTTTTGTTCTTTCTGAGTCAAGGTCAAATGTGCAATCTTCTTGACTCAGCTCCTTCTCCCCCTCATGCTAAGTTTATAGGCATGAGCCACCATTCTTAGTTTTTGTTTTGTTTTTTTGAGACAGGGTCTCTCTGTATAGTTTTGGAGCCTATTCTGGCACTTACTCTGTAGACCAGGCTGGCCTCAAACTCACAGAGATCTGCCTGCCTCTGCCTCCCAGTAATTCCTAGCTTTAATTTTTTTGATCATCTTTTCCCTCTCATCGTACACAGATTCATCATAAGACTGCTATTGCTATATTGCATATGTTTTATTTTGTTTCTGCCAAGATACACTTTTATTTCTTCTGTGATATGTTAGAGCACAGTGTTGAATATCTCATCTTTCTGGTTTTGAAGGCTTTCCCTTGGGAGTCTGTGTGTACAAGGAGATGCCTTTGAATGGCAGTCATTTCCTGTTATGTTGGCCTCACTACTCCTGAATAATAATTGTCTCAGATTTTTGTTGCTGGGATGAAACAACTGAGGCAGATCACAGTTTGAGAGCATGTGACACTGGCACAGGCTGAGTGCTGGATGCCTCACACTGTGGTAGAAAGAACAGTGGGAACACTAGCTAATGTAACTGCATACCTAGCCAGGACCAGAGAGAAGGAATCAATGACTTATAAAGCCATCAAGGGCCTGTTTCATGGAAAGACCTAAGGATTTTCTGCTGGACTCTACCTCTGGAAGTTTCCATCACCTCTCAGCCATATACCTTGGGTGCCTTGTAGGGAACACATACCATATTCAAGTCACAGCACTAGGAAAACCCATGTTTAAAAACATCTTTTGTATCGCTTCTCGGCCTTTTGGCTAAGATCAAGTGTAAAACATCTTTTGTAGTAACTCAAAGACATATTATTGCTTGTGGTTTGATGATTTATTTGCTCTATGTTGGAGAGTTTCTTTCCTTATTTTACTGATTTTCCTATCAGTGAAATGAGCTAATATGAGCTAACCTCTAATGTGGTTCAGATTTCTGTACTGTTTCTTAGCTAGGGAGCAAGAGATATTGCTTGGAGCATTAGGAATATTATAGAAATGGAATGTAATAGCCAAGTTCTTCCCCAGCCTCACAAATAGTTTAGAGAGGCATCCTGAGAAGATCATATTCTGTATGCTCCATTTTATTCACTGTTTGTACTTGAAGTATATCTTTCAAACATTGTTTAAAATAGAAAAGGGACCACTTCCAAATGTTTCAGGAAGTAATTCAAGTTAGACATAAACACATAGTTCTCATCATGAAGTGTTAGTGGAACTTAAAGAGAACCAACTATGCCTCATGAAGACCAGTATGATTCTGAACCAGGCTTATTTCCAAGACCAGAGCAAACACTGCCTTGCTTACTAATCAATGCCTTCCAGTCTGCCAAATGATCTTGAACAGGAAAGGGAGAGGTATGAAAATCTTAATATGTCAGTAGAAAGGCTCCTGCATGGTTATTGTCAGTGACTATCAGAAATTCTAGAGGGAATTACGATGAGATCAACACAAGGAAGAGAGCAATGAGAAGAATAGGAATACCAAGGAGTCTGAGCAAATGGAAGTATAAGCAAGGTTTCTGAACACCAACGATGCGCGTCTTCAGAGGCTTCAGTGACCGGTCCCACTGGGTTAGGATGGCATTCCTAGCTCCTGACCACTTCCCTGGGCCTTCCAACCGGAATTGGTAGGGGCTGCATGGGCCAAAGAACACTTCTATGGCCAACCTAGGATCCTTGAGAAACAGCTGTAGGATATTGGGCTTTGCTCCAATAAAGGAGGCCAGTTCATCCATGTAAACAATGTAATCAGTCTGGATGGTCTCACTGCTGCCAAACCTAGAAATGGAGAGGAGAGACTCCTGTGATACCCAGGCTTTACAGAAACAAGAAGAGGAAAGCAATGTCTTTCCTACCAGGGGCAGTCGTTATTCTCTTGTGTTATGGAAGGGAATATTTCATACCTCATTTGGAAAGAAATCCCCCAACACTACAGAGCAATGGAGAATGTTTGTGTCCCTGTCAGCAAATGGAACATTGTCTCTTGCTCAAGTGAAGTTATTCATTCACAGCCCCTGAGCTAATTAGTGACAGACGGGGGATGGGGTCCAGTTTTCTAGGTTAACTCTCATGTTGTTGGGTCATTTTCATTTAAAACATCTACTTGAAGTATCATCTACCTCGTGGAAGATTTCTAGGCTAGAGAACATAGTTCTGCTTTGACATGCTTCCTTGGTTACTTTGGGTTCATCCCTTTTGCATGTCCTTTCTGGAATGTACTACAGAAGAAAGGGATAAAGGGGACAATACAATGAGGATCCTCAGTCTTGTTGCTCACTCTGCACCTTGCCCTTAGTAGGACCCAATGTAATGGCAGATAAGAAGATCTCCATGAATGATTCTTGGATGGAAGAACATGGCTCATAGCTTTTACTCTGTTAACTTCATGAAGAATCATTCAAGACAAAGTCAATTTCAAATACTGAAAAAAACTGATTTTTCTATGCAAATCCTAGATCTATATTACAATAGATTTACAATATAAAACTCTTACAATTTGAGTTTTTTCCCCATTTTCTCATCAATATCATCCATCATGTCTTTTACAGGAGGCAAAATGCAAGTTCCTGAAAAAGAAGAAGGGCAAAATGACAGTTTAATGAATCCAGCATGGGAGTACCCCAGCAGTTTTCATTTTCAGTGAATTAATAAGCTTGTTGCATTTTCAGGTTTAAAAATGTTCATTCTTTGTGTGCATGAGCCCATGCATTCATCCATGGCACAGGTTTGGATGTCACAGAACAACTTGTAGGAGTCACTTCTCTTTTTCTTCTAAATTCCAGGAATATAATACAGGTCATCAGGCTTTTGAAGCAAGCACTTTTAGCCACTGAGCCATCTTAGTGACCCTGATCTCATTTTGACTTTTTATTATTCAACAAAATAAAATCTTGAGCAGATGAATAATTGGTGATTATTTTCAGATTGATGAAGGATTCCTACTCTTCTTAGAACACTAGTCACAATAAAAATATATTATGTAATTATCTTTGTATCTTGGTTTTTAAAAGTACCAGATGCTTATTATTTATTAAAGATTTATATTCTAAACTTTCAATAATATTTTAAAGAATATTTTCTATATATTATAGTCTAATGCAGGCTAATTGCAATTATTTTCAGGATTTTGTGTGTATGGAGTATGCATGTGTACCTTTTTGCACATTTGGGTATGTGTGTTTTGTGTGTAAGATATAGAGATAGAAACAGAGACAGACAGAGAAGAGAGAAACACAGAGATAAAGACAGAGACAGAATGATCAGAAGTAAGGTCAACCTCAAGTGTCCATCCCTACAGCTCTCTACCTTATCTTGAGATATGGTCTGCCTTTGAACACGGATCCCACAAACTGGCCAGCAAGTCGCAGGAACCCTCCTGTATCTGCCTACTGTCCTCAGTATAAGGCCATAGGCATGCACTGACCTACCCGGGATTTTTCCATGGATGTTGGGGTTCTGAACTCAGGTTGCCATGCTTTCATGATAAGTGCTTTACAGATGAAGCCATCTCTCTGGTCTGATTTTTCTTTAAGACTCAAGGAAAAAATTCTCCCTAAGGAATTCAGTCTTTCTTTGCTAGAGAAGGATATTTCAGCAGATAAAGTAGAGAACTTAGTAACTCCCCTCCTCCCACCCCAATCTCTTGGTGGAGAAACAAGAGGTGTTAAATGTAGCTGATATTATGGACTAGCCATATTCACCAAGGATATGGGGAATGCCAGGTGATGAAATGCAATTTGAAGCTACCTCAGAATTTTAGGCTCATATAAGTTAATATGTGTCTCTGAAACACAGACCAAAATACATTTCTTTGGCAATGTTGGAATTACTTTTGAGTGAGATTAGAAATTATCTCAAAAAATGATTGTTCAGCCTTTTCAATGACCTGCTTAACTTTCCATTCTTGCAATCCTTACAGTGTTATTGGACGGCTTTTGTCAGTATGGCCTCATTATAGCCCTTGGACTCTGTCTTGTCCAGGTACGGGTACAGAGACTGGGAGGTGGAAAGTGTGTTCAAAGCCCACTCACTTCCACCATCAGACTGCTTGTAATTGGGCCCTCTGTCCCGGGGTTCTGATTTTTCTTTTCTAGATCCCAGGAACCAAATCCAGGGCTTTTGCTCTTACCTGTCGCTCTAATTCTCCCTAACTAAGTTGTTTGCTCAATAGCCCATTTCTTGTCAACCTAAGCATTTGCTTTTCCTGTCAATTGCCCACTTTGCTTTCCTCTTTCAAGATTATTCTTACAGTTTGTTTATTTATTTATTTATTTATTTACTTACTTATTTGCTTTCTGTCTGCGCATGCATACATGCCCCTGAACGATGGTGTGTGTGTGGTGGTCAGAGGATAACTTGTAGGAATCAGCTTTATCCTTCTACCATGTGGGCCCCAGAATGGATCCCAGGTTTGTCAGTCTTGGCATCAAGCACCCCTGTTATCTGAACCATCTCTTCAATTCCCCTTTATGTTTTACTTTCCCCCTTATTTTTGTTTCTCAGAGCCAAAGTTACAACTCTTGTCTTCGCAGAGAGCTAGTGGCCTTCCTTTAAGTCCTGTCCTCTTGAGGTGGAATCTGAGGGCCAAGGGGCTGCTGCTGCTTTTCCGAAGCCACTATGCCCTCTGAGGTTCCCTCCAGTCTCTGTCTGAGAAGGTATAGGTGGAGGAGACTCAGAGAGGCCACTGCTGAGAAGGAACACACCGATATGGGTGGCAGTCTGATGGCCCAGGGTGTACAGTGGCATGTATACCTTCTCTAAGCTTTAACAAGTCAAGGCAGTACTAGAAGAAGTAGCTGTGGCCCACTTTGCTAAAACTTGCTCATGGAGAAGTTCCATAACTTAAGGTTCAACTAAACTTTGCTCAATGTACTTTGACATCTCTGTTTTGCTTTAATAATGGCTCCACTTATTCTTGTGATCAGTGGCTGCCTACAGCTATACCCCTTCATTCAAACGTTACTGTGACTCTGATCTCAGCTCTGCTACCACAGGATGCTGGCTCCCTCCCTTGCCTTTCCCTAATCAAGTCTATTGTTTCCTTTTCCTTTTGAAAATATGAGTAATATGTACTTTTGTATCTTAGAGATTAAACAACTCTCACATCTTGTACTTCCTGTCTCTAACCAACCACTGCTTGTCCTTAACTAACACACTGCAGAGACGAAAACAGCCAGAAGATCTGCTGCCTTCCCAGAGTGGGTGCTCTCCCTGGCTGTAGATATCTGAGGTTGGCTGGAGATTAGCCTGAAACTATCTTTGTCAATCACCCTTTCAAGTAATGCAATACTATTCAGTTTGAAATCACAATTTAATAGCATGGTGTAGTTAGGACCAAGAACTCTTGGAGTTCTTCTCTACTGAATGATCTCAGGTAATTGTCAGCTCCCAAGAATCATAAGTAGCAGAAATCTCCTAACAGCATCATACTATTGCATGTGATAACCCAATGACTCGTATTTCAAATTGCTTATAGAGTACAACATCAATGGAAATAGAGTTACAGATTCTCAAAGCCGGATAGGTCTCTTAACTAGGATTATTGCTTGGATTCTGAAAAATACTCCCATTAGTATCCATCGGTGAACTTTTGGGCCCACTTACCCTTTATTACTTGTGTAGCCCAGCGTGCCTGCAGGTCAGTTGTGGGGATGGCAGCACCTAGGGACTGGACAAGGCCAATCACTGCCATGGTTGGTTTCTCCAGTTGAGGAGGGAAGATGCTTTTATACAAGGTGACCTCGTTATTTCTGCTTTTGATGATGGAGTCATCCAGGAAGGGGTAGGCATAACCATAGCCTGTTGCAAAGATGACACAGTCAATGGCCTCAAACACAGTCCCATCTTCAAATACAGCAGAGGTCTCTGTGAACTCCTTCACATTAGGCTTGATAGTCACAGTGCCACACAGGATGCGGGCTGGGAGCTCATCATTGAACACGGGCTCTTTCCTGAGGGTTCTGTAGAGATGGAAGAAACTGGTCATTGTAACAATAAAATATCCTGTTAGTCTCTGTGAAGGAAGGAAGAAGACAGTCAAACAGTTTTCCCTAAGTTATGGAATGTCACTAATGCACGAGAAGAATAAAAGTGATATGAGGCCATGAGAAGGCTACACCGGGGTTTCCATAGAGTGGTGAAATGTGAGACACATTAAGCAATTGCACAACTCAGGCCAAAGAAGGTGCTCCTGGGAACTTAGATAAGGTGAGGAGAAGGGACAACAGTTTGAAGCACTGGCCCCTGGGGATCTAAAAAGAGATCCTTAGTTTTGAGCAGTAAAATCTCTACACATAAAGATTATTCTGAAGTTGACAATGAACTTGAATAGCAAGGAAGGACAGGGGAAGAAGCTGCAAGAGGAGAGACAGACAGTGAGATTAGGTGGAATTCTGGTTGGGAAAGTGCCAGGCTCAACCGCACTTATTACCTGCCACTTGTACTAAACTCTCATTGCCATCAGGCACTAAGCACCCCAGCCTCACTGAGACTGCATTTGCCAGGGCTGTCAGAATAAAGCTGATGATCCAGTGGCCTATGCTCATTTATTTTACTGAACTTATCAGTAGCTCTTGACTTAGTTGATTGTGTCTCCTCCTGAAACAGTCTGTAAAGATCATCACTTTTCCTAACATGACTGCTGTCTCCCAGTGTTCCTTGCTTGCTGCTGCTCTCTTCCCCACCTGACTGCAGAACTCAGCCCACAGTCCTCTTGCCTTCTGCATCTACATTCATCCTTTAAGAGATGACACAAAATTTAACTTAGAGTTTGAACCTAATTCAAGAACTCTATTGAAAAATGTCTTTAGGGCATTTTTTCATTTCCCTTGCCCACATTGTATTCTCCTTAACACACTTTACAATACAGCTTTCTGCTCAGCATTTATTGAATGTTTACAGCTACTAAGAATGTACGCTAGTAGAACAGGATTCTGCCCATTCTAGATCCTGACATATCCACAAACACTTAACTTGGGACCTGACACAGTAAACACTTCATTTCTATTTGTTGAGTTAACGAATTTGTAAGAAGTTTGGGGTCTGTAACCAAAGTTGAAGTTATTTATTACGTAGTGGGCTTGAGGGAGTTGTAGAAAAAAATCAAGGAGGAAACTGGGAGTGCTGGACTTATGTAGAACTGGTTCATTGAGCGCATTCTTTGAAGAAGTTGAGAAAAGAATATAGCACAGGAAAGTTATTTTGTTAGCCTCCACTTTGCCATTAAGTGGGAGGTCATAGACTAAGTGGATAAAGAACAAAAGACCTGGAATCTGCAGGTGGGGGCTTATACTGAAGGTTACTTTACTTCCTGGATATGGGAGCTTGGTAACATTAATTCTATTGTACTTCAGTTTTCTTCTCTGAAAAACAGAACAAACAGAGCCTTCTTCATAGTTGTGACATAATATACGACAGAGCCTAAAAGAGAATAGGTATGACTCTGGTAATATATGAAGTGCTTAAAACATTTTTATTCCTGTTACTATGGGAACTAATTGCTTCAGTGTTACCTAACTTTCTAGATGTACAAATCTGGTAAGAAGGATGTGTGGAAATAGTTTCCAATATTTGCAGTTCTTTATCCTTTGATACCTGAGGTGTGATTACCTCATGAATAATTTTCTATTTGTTTTGAGGTTACAACACACATCAAGGGCTGTTGACACTGAAATAAATGTTGGCTGGCACATCATACTTTAGTCCACATTACCCATTTAAAGGCATCAAGCCATAGTTTTCGTGCTTGAATCTTGCATTCATCTGCCTCATGTACCACCAATCAGAGATGGCTGTGGGTAAGTTGTTCTTGAGGAAAGTTTGAAATCGAGTGATCACCATCATGTCCCAGGGGTAGCCATCATTCCAGACCCGGCTCATTACCCAAGATCCACTTCTGGAGCTGATGATGACCTTAAAAACACAAATGCCAAATGTAGTGAGTGTAGCATATGTTGTAAGATGCCCTCTACATCTCCCTATTGGGATGGGTTTGTTACTCTTGCTGTTGGGTTTTTTTGTTGTTGTTGTTGTTTTCTTTTGCCAGGAGGAACTAGGAATCCCTCAGCTCCCAGTCCTCCTAAAGAGTTGTGTTGGCTAAAGAAATGGGTTCCACTCAGGTCTTACTTCCTCTCTGGGTTTTCCAAATCCACTGATTGGTCTGTGTAGGCCCAGACCCTTATTTCAGGTTGGTTCATAGACCCATCGAAGCTTGAGCATAAGGCAAAAGGAAGCTAGCTGTCCTTCCCAGGAAACACTGACTCCAAGAGAACTTTTGGATGAGCTTTCTCAGCTCTAATCTGCTCCTAAAAGTCAGCTATCCTGTTGCTACGGAGAGGAGCCAACTTATTTCAACCATGTCTTCCTTAACACAGGTGACCATCAATGCGAATTCCAGTCATATATCTCTCCGTGCTTATCCAACTACTGATATCTACAAAGAAGCAATTATTATCCCCAAATAGACATTGGTGTAAAATGAGGCAAGTAAATTGTAATCAGGACACCACAGACACAAATCCTGGCCCTCTACCTTTAACCATGTGACATAGGGAAGATTTCTTTAACTTCATTAATCTTGTTTCCCTTCTTCTAAACCAGAAAGACATAGCATCTACCATTTCAAATTTGCATGAGGGTCAATTCAGTACAATATGGCTCACATTACCTCACATATCATGTGATCAGTAAATGTCCCTTCCTTCCTCTTTTGTTAGTTCCTAAGACAGTTCAGGCCCACCTTCTTTGTGATGCCTCAGATTCTACAGTCTTTTAGGCATTTAGTGACAGAATCATACATTTACCCTTCATTCCAGCCCTAACTCTTATACTGTTGTCATGCATTCTGCTTAGCTATTGAGATTGTGTGTGTGTGTGTGTGTGTGTGTGTGTGTGTGTTGACTAGATTCTATGACCTTTTGAGAAGGAAGGCCACATGGTAATTTCTTTGCATGCCCCCTGGTTGTCAAGTGCAGTGTGTGGAACAGAGGCATAGGAATAGATTTTTTATGTCATTTATCCTGACATTATCTCCATATATCTTGACTGAACTATCATGGAATAAAGTTAGAAATAAGCTGGGGATGTGCAGGGGTCCTATCAGTAACCTATATTGGGGGTATATGACATCATAAGGCAAAACATTTGGAAACAAGATTCCTACCTGTGGGCTTTTGGAAAAAAACAATCTTTAATGAATTTTTCCAAGTGAGAAGATGACTTATGTTAGGAATCACATCCTAAAAGGATCTTCATCATTCCCTCACCATCTTCCTTTCAATTTCCATTTATATCCTTCTTTCCTAAACCCACTGAGATGCAGCCAAGAGGTTTTTTTAAATAATTTTTTGAGGTACCAAATTTCTTATTTCAAGACCCTCTGCCTGGAGACCTTTTATGATACTATGCCTTTCTCAATTTCTGGTTCTCTGCTGTGTGTCATCATCTCCAGGGGTCTTTCCCTCCATGTGTGAAGTAGGTCACCCTTATTAATCGCATGAACCATGTACTTTATTTTCTTTGCTAGCATTTTCCACAATGAGAATGAGCACATTAGAGTATTTCCTTAATTGATATCATGGAGTTCAAGAGTGAGGGTTATGTTTGTTTTGTTCAACATTTTTTCTCTAAATACCTATGCCAGTGCATGGAACAAGAAATAAACACTGATGAATGCAGGCATGGATGAGTGAATATGCAGTTCTCTGTCAATATTAGCTGAATCAGGTTTTAACTATATAAAAATCTCAGAAGTACTGAGCAACTTATGTCTCAGTTATAGCTTTGACCTCGAGCCCACTCTAGTTTTAGAGGAATTGATCAGATACACAGAAGGTATCAAATGTCTTAAGACGATTCTTGGGTGGGAAACATCCCCAGTGACACCTATACAGCTGTTTCAAATCCCACATGTTATCTAGGAAGCTAAGGCATATGAAATATCACTTGGTTTTCACATGTCATCCATTCCATAGCAGTTTTCAAAGAATAGTAACAGTTTCTATTCCTTTAAGATTGTCTGTGGCATGTGTGTGGGATATGGTACCTGTTGAGCTATGTGGCTGAGTTCTGCAGCAATGTCACAGCCTGAGTTTCCCAGACCAATCACCAGGATTCGTTTTCCCTTCCATATCTCTGGTTCCTTATAGTCCCTGCTGTGGAAGCATTTGCCTTTAAAACGGTTCAGTCCTGAGTGAAAAGAGAGAAACGTATGAACCAATTTGATTTCTATTAAAATAAAACAACTTTAGTGATAACACAATAAGAAAAATTAACAATCCTAATGTATTACATATAACAGAAATATATTTTGATTGGCCTGTTTGTAGTTTAGTTAAAAAGACATTACTGCAGTTTGGGGATGAGTGTATCCTCCAGAGGTACATGTGCTGCCAACTTGGTCCCCAGTGTAGTAGCAACAACTAGGAAGTAAGTTAGTCATTGAGGACATCCCCCTTGGAAAGGATGGTAGAGCAAGTTTAGCTACATGAAAGTAGTAATTTTTTTGTTCTAACAAGAGCATGCCTGGCTGTTGGATCGCTCTAGCTGCCCTTCTTACTTCATAACCCTTAGCTGCTGGGCATGGCTAGTTCTTTTTTCATCTCTTTACCATGCTGTGATACAACAGGGGTGAGGGGCAAATGGGGCAGGGGGGTGTGGCTTGCTAGAATGCTAGCACCATGCTTCTTACACTTTCCAGTGCCTGTAATTATGAGCCAAATCTCTTTTATGTACAGTGTCTTAGTCAGCAGGTATTCTTTTACTTATGTTAGAAACCAGAATAAAATAGACATCGCTAATATGTTTGTTCTTGACAGATATGTAGGTGATTTCCTCAATTTCAGCCTTACCTGGAAAGGAGTCTTTGGGTAGATGGGGATATACATGATGCCCAGAACAAATCATTATAGCATCAAAGACAGCTGTTTCTTTTTTACCATTCTTTTCAGTGGTAACTTCCCATTTGCCAGTAATTGAGAAATCAGAACATTTATTTATACTGGTTACAAATGTCTAAGAAATGCAGAGAGAAAGCCTTCTTTAATATGCTAATAGTGTATTGGTCTTAATAAGATCATTTAATTAGTAAGGTTCACCTTTTTTTTTTTGGTTTTACAAGACAGGGTTTCTCTGTATTGTTTTGGGGGCTGTCGGTCCAGCCCAGCCTCGAACTCACAGAGATCTGCCTGCCTCTGCCTCCCGAGTGCTGGGATTAAAGGCATGTGCCACCAACGCCCAGCAGTAAGGTTCATCTTAAGGAATTCAGAAGTCCCTTAGAAGAAATGAAAACATTAAATTGTATATGTATGCATGTGTCAATATTGTGTGTATGTATGTGTTCTTCTTTGACTTGTTTTTAAATATATTTCATTGTTTATTGCAAATGATTAAGTTTATGGTCTCACAAAAGAATGTCTTTCTATGCCTTGCCCAAAAAGTCTAACTAATACCCAGTTCTAAGGCCTTTTTTTTTCATTTAATTCTTTTTGTCACATGGATTATTTAGAAAATGGAGTTTCAAACCTATGTATATCTTGTATCTATTTTTTGTTACTGATTTCTAAGTTGATGCCATTTTGATGTAAGAACTACATGTGATCATGCTTTGTGCATTTCTGACTGATTCATAAGAAGAAAACAGTGTTCACAAATCTACAATTAGAGAAACAAAACTGTTAAAAATCGTTGGTTAAAGAAAGGGATCCTGGGGGGGGGGGAAGTGGAAATTAAGCAACAGCCATGGACTTTATCATTGCTATGTCTGATACTGCTTTGCTGACAGCATCTTACCTCAAATTGTATGTATTTTACAAGGTTCTTTTCTTTGGCAAATGAAGTGATGTATTCTTGGAGCTTGCTATTATGCATAAAGTTGGGGAAGTCATCAGGATAGGGGAAGTCTGGAAAACACATCATTTCTTTGGAAGAGTTGGTGAAGACTGATCGGTAAATACTAGCCCTGCCCTCCTCTGTATGGTCCTGTGAATAAAATTTTCAGATGGAAGAAAATTGGTAAATGAGTATAACAGTTCTTGTTTAGATTCAGTTCCAAGTCATTATACTAAGTTGAGTTGGCCTTTACCCACCAGTGAATCTGATAAGATGATAAATAAATATTAACTTCCCCTAAACAATTGATGCTGATCACAGAAGTTTACCAAGGTGACATAGAATGTAGAAGCACATACTTAATACATTTTCTTTACTAAGGTAAATAGCTTCTTTGTTTCCTTTGAGAAGTATTCAATTAGAACTCTTATTTCTATAACATATGGTGATGGATATTCATAGTTTAACTCCACAGGATTTCGTTGTGTCACCAACTCATGAGCATGAGCAAATTTGATTTCTAAAAATAGAATAGGCAATTGACACCATAAGATTTGTAAACGTGAGCATTTTAAGTTCTAATCTTTCAAAATTAAATGTAAAATTTATGGGCATTGTCATCCACTGAGCATTATGCATGTAACAGTTTTAACTTTTGGAAATACAGAAATGTTTGCATTGATAACATTTTTAATTTAATTTATTTATTTTACAACCCAGTCACAGTCCCCCCTTGCTCCCAATCCCCCGTGTCCCATCCCCCCCCACTCAATATGATCCTCTTCTGTTTCTGTTCAGAAAGGGGCAGGCCTCTTATGGGTATCAACAAAGCATGGCATATCAAGTTTCAGTAAGACTAAGTACCTCCCCTTTTATTAAGGCTGAACAATACAATTCAGTATGAGGAATAGGTTCCCAAAAGTCAGCCAAAGCATTAGGGATAACTTCTACTCACATTGGTAGGACTCCCACAAGTATACCAAGCTACTCCACTGTCACATAATTTAGAGGGCTAAGGTAGCTCCCATCCATGGTTGTTGGTTCAGACTATGTGAGTATCTATGATCCAGGTTAGTTGTTTCTGTGGGTTTTCTTGTGATGACCTTAAGCCCTTTGGTTTCTATAATCCTTCCTTTCTCTCTTTAGCAGTATTCCCCATATTAATGGAGATGTAACAGAATTGTGCTTAGAATTGTAGTGGAGGTAATAAATGATTATGAAAGAAGAAGGGAGCCCTGAAGAAGAAGGCTTAGCAAAGAGAAGATCAGGATGTTGTGATCTTGTTCTTACCTGTAGCCATGCACTGGTACAAACACACACAGACACACACACACACACACACACACACACACACACACACACACACTCCCTCACATCACCACCACCACCAACAACAACAACAAAACACCCCCTGAAACCACCAACCAACAAAACAAAGTCTCACAGCAACTCAGAGTTAGATTCAACTCCCATAGAATTTGTTTTAGTTGGACTGGATCTTCAAATGTCTTTCAAGTAACAGTATAGAATAAAACTGGTAGAGGATAATAACCAAAAAAGTAGTTCTGATGCAAGATAACACCTTAGGATGTGTTTGTTGCAGCTGGTGTCTCAATGTATGTGTGAGGTGATTTTTTAAAAACACTCAATAAAAAATATATGTGCATGTTTATGGATAGGGTGCACCTGTGTGTCCATGTGCACATGTGTCCCCCATTGTGTGTGTGTGTGTGTGTGTGTGTGTGTGTGCATAGGTCAGCCTCAGGTGTGTGTTCCTTAAGAGCCATCCACTCACTGATGAGGCTAGGCTGGCTAAGTAAGAAGGCTCCAGGAACCCTGCCTCCTCCCCACAGGGTTGGGATTACAAACCTGGCTTCGAGGCTTGAACTCAAGTGCTCAAACTCTGAAAGTAAGCACTTTGCTGAATGAGCTAGATCTTCAACCCAGGGCATTGCATTAAAAGAAAAAATACTGTAAAGACCATGATAAAAGAGCTGAAACTTGGGTCTCTGAAACCACCAAGGTATATTGTGCATGATCTGTAGGTCTAGATGAAATATCTGTCTTTCTCAGCAGCTCTTTAAACAATAAATCAGTAAGCTGTCTGGATTTGACCTTTAGTTTTGTGATGAAATATTAAACTACAGATCTCTACAGATGGCTGTGAGTTTGTAGAGAAACATGTAAACCACTAGAAACTTCTAATTAGGTGTCATGTAACTCAAAACTGATGGGTGCCCAGATTATGACCTTTTAGTAAACACTGGAATGTTATGTCATGCCAATCACTATCACTAGCATGACTGAAATTTGTTTACTGTCAAGGGACATCTTGGCTGTTGTGGTTGTTTCTAAAAAGAATGTGACCTTGAAACGGGACCCAAGTTTCTGTTGTTCCTGTGACTCATGAACTTGAGTAGTCTGCATGATATTTTTGGGGAGGTGAAGAGATTTGTAGCTTCTAGTAAGTTTAGGAAGTTTGAGAGAAATGATATTACAAGGAAAGAGGAAAAATAAGGAATAGATTAATTCACATAGAGGCTGTCAGCCTGAAAATACAAAATCTGAAGTATTTTGAGCATCAACATGGCAGCACAAGTAGAAAAGTCCAGCTGAAGGTTGGACATCCATATCCTTCTCTCCAAGGCTCAAGAAACATTGTAGAAGGAAGGGTAGAAAGAACATAAGGGCCAGAGGATGGAGAAGGGTGTCGTGAAGACATGTCCTCTGGACATGACATGGCTGTCGCACACATGAACTCACAGCAGGTGTGGTTGACTGCATGGGACCTACACATCAAGCTAGTAAAAATTCAAACATGGACTGGGGAGGGGGCTTCTGAAGTACCACTCCAAGGAGAGGAACTACTGACAGTTAATGGCTGCTGGAGGGAGGAAGAATTCCTTCCCTCCTTCTTCCCTTCCTTCCTCAGTTTCCCCTCTGTCCACTCCTCTCAGTACCCCCCCACCTCCTCTTTCTCTCAGATCCACTCCTCTGTTTCCTTTAGAAAAGAGCAGGCCTTCCAGGGATATCAATTGAACACGACAAACAGGATTTAATAAGTGTAGTCACAAATCCTCATATCGAGGTTGGGCGAAGCAACCCAGTAGGAGGAAAGGGGTCCCAAGAGGAGACAAAAGGGTAGAAGATACCCCCATTCCCACTGTTAGGAGCCCCACAGAAATACCAAGCTAACAACCACAGCATACATGCAGAGGACCTAGTGCAGATCTTCTAAAGGAACATGAACTTATCTTTCCAGCAATAGAATGCTTAATAAAGTGTGAGTAGGGTATGATCACCCCCCAGAGGCTGTGAGAAAACATACTCTCTGTCTCTTTCACTGCACACCAGCATCTCGTAGCTTTCAGTGTCAAATGTATCTGCCTTTATTGACTTGTCTCTCCTATATTCGTTTACAAGACCATAATCAAAATGCAATACATTTTTCTCTTCTATCTGTTGTCTCCCTTTGTTTCCTGCATGGGATGATATAGGTTGCAGCATTTATAGATAGTCTAGGTAATCCAGAAAAATCTCTCCATCTCCAGATTTTAACTTCATCTTAGTCTCAAGCATTTGTCCTTAGATAGCAAGTTCTATAGATTATAGGAATTAGGGAGTGATTTAATGAGTGCATAAATGCACATCTGCTGACAGTGACAAAGCATCAAAAGTACTTCAAAGTGTGCCCTACATTGCCCTTTGCAGCTGTCTTTGTAGTTTTGGGTTTTGAAGAACAAGTTCCACACCTGAATCTTCTAAATTGCTTTTTTTTTATTCCTTCCCCTCCCCTGCACCTTCCCTTGCCCTCCTCTTTGCTCCTTACCTTTGTGCGCCCCTCCCCTTCCCTCTCCTACCTTCCCTTCCCTTTCCTCTCCTTTATTCCTCTCTCCTCTCCACTTACTTTCCCCTCCGTTCCCCTCTACTCTCCTCTATTCCACTCCTCTTCCCTCCCTCCTCTCCTCTTCTTTCCTGTCCTCTCCCATTCTTCCCTCTCCTATCCCCTCCTTGCCCACTTCTCTCCTCTCACCTGCTCCCCCCCCCCTTGACCCCATGTATCCTAGGCTGGCCTAAAACTTGCTGTGTATCCTGAACTCCCAGATCCTCTTGCTTCTACCTCCTGAGTGCTGAGATTAGAGGTGTGAGCCACTATGCCCCATTTTGTGGTGTGAGCTACTATGCCCCAGTTTTGTGGTACTAGGAATTCAGCCTAAGTCTTCTAAATGCAGTTTGAATTGTACCAATTTGTAAATGTCACCAACCACATTCCCAGCTTCTTATTTTGATATTATTATTGCTATTATTCAGTATGAAATTTTGCTTTCATCATTAGTAAATGGTAAGCTTACATAAATACTAAAGAAGTGTTTTAAAATAAATTTCTTTAAAAACAAGTAACAGAGACTAAGTAGGCTATATTAAGTAATGTATATCACAACAATTAATGGAAAAATAAAGCAAAGAGGGGAATATGAGAGAGCTTGGATGGAGGAAAGAGGAAACTATGTAATTATATTATAATTTCAAAAATAAGATAAGTTAAAACAAGCTGCCAAGACTTGTTAATGCATACACAATGTAGAAAAATAAATATTTGTATCAGTAATGCAAAATGTGTTGCAGGAATGGAGAGACTTTGCTTGTGGTTTGTTATTATTTTAAAGTAGATAGAACTACTTTTTGTATATGTTAATAAATCAAAAGTGTTTTGTGTTCAAAAATAATCATTTTAATTGTGTATAGTCATTGTAAATGGGTGGCATTGTCCTGGATAAAGGCAGGTATCTCCGTAGAGCACAGTGCCCTCCCACACTCCCAACATTACTACTTTAATTGTACTACCTGTAGACTACTATATAAAAATCGTCTACACGTAGTTATTGCATAGTGCTTAAACCCGAATATTTAGAAATTATATCTTTCAATACATTAAAAATATGCTGACTAAACAGAATAATTGTGCATATTTTGAGGCACAATGTGATGTTTCAATGCACAGGTATAATACATATTGATCAGATTAAGGAATGGGTTTTCTATCTCTTGTCATCTTGTTGTGTTTGGAGTGCTTGGGTGACTCTCTTATACTTATTTAAAACTACATAATTGGTTGCCATAAACTATAATATAGAGCATATTGCTTCAACCTACTTATGTTTGGGTGCTTGCTATCCAAATTCCCAGTGTCTTTCCCATCTCTTACCTTTCCTAGCCTTTGGTAACCATTTCTATACATTCAATTATGTAAGAACAATTATTTTTAACACAATGACTTCCATTTTCATTTGTTTCACTGAACATTATGGGGTATTATTCTTTTTTTAAGGTTAAGTACTATTCAATTCAGACTATGTGTCACAATTACTTCATCTATTCACCTATCATGTCTTGTGCTGCTGGGGCCATATCTATTTTCTTTTTTTTGCCTGTATTAATGTCTTGAAGTGCTTCCCCTTTTTTCTTCTATTAATTTTGCAGTTCTGGATCTTATAGTCAGGTCTTTAATCCATTTTTGCTTAATTTTTATGTGTTTGAGAGGTATAGGGGTCAAGTTTTATTCTTCTGTTTGTAACTATCCTGTTTTTCCAGTACCATATATCAAAGAGGTTATCTTTTCTTTCTAGTAAGATTAAAGAGAATCATAAAAGGAATCTCATTCACAATTGGTACAAAAATACAAAGGAGCTGGGACTAGTAGTGCACATTTCTAATCCCAGCATTTGGGAGGCAGAGGCAGATAGATCTCTGTGAGTTTGAGTTCAGCCTGATCTACATAACCAGGTCCAGGGCAATGTAGAGAGACCTTGTTTCAAACAAACAAACAAACAAACAAACAAACAGAACAAAACAAGGGCACCACCAACAAAACAACAACCCTCCCCCACAAAAAAAAGAAAAAGAAAAGGAAAAAACTACAAAAGAAAAAGTTTAACCAAGAAGTGAAAGACTTTTCAATGAAAATTGTAAAACTCTGATGAAAGAAACTGAGGAAGACCTCACTAAGTGGAGATAACTCTGATGCTCACAGATGGGAAAAATCGATGTTACTATGTTTATCCTACCCTAGTTATTCATGGATTCAATGCAGATTATTATTCAATCCATCAACATATCAATGATATTCTTCACAAAGCTAGAGAAGAATGTCCTGAAATTCTGGAAATACAGAAGGCTCCAAATAGACACAGAAGACTTGAACCAAACCAAACCAAAGCAGTACTAAAGAAACAGACAAAAACCACAAAAGAACAAAAAACAAACAAACAAACAAACAAACAAAGCTGGAAGTAATCACATTACCTGAATCTGAAATATACTTCAAAGCTACAGAAACCAAATTATCACAGTAGTGGCATAAAAACAGACACACAGGCCAGTGGAACAGAACACAGAGCCTAGAAATAACCTATTACATTTTTAGCCAACTAATTCTTGACCAAATTCTGAGAAGTTGAAATTTATGATCTAAATCACTAACATGAGTTTTCTAGCCTCACATCCAAAACATTTATTTATTTATTAATTTATTAATTTATTTTTGTGTGATAAGTGTACACATGTCCAAGGGCATGCTGGGGCCACAAGTTGACACAGGAAGTCTTCCTCAATCACTTCCTACCTTCTTGTTTGAGGTATGGTCTTCTATTGAACATGAGCTCGCTGATTTGGCTAGACTGACTAGTCACCACAGGTATCAGATGGCTTTGCCTCACTACATGTGTGCACCCCTGTATCTGACATTGATGTGTTATTTGGGGATCCAAACTCAGACCCTCATGCTTGTGGAGGCTAAGCACTTTACTCTCTGAGCCAGCTCCAGACCTACCTGGTGGAGTTTAAACAAGGAAGACGTGTATCTGTATTATATAAACTCACCTAGTGTTTGACTATGGATGTTTATCTCCAAGTGACTCTTACTCGTGATTTACCAGATGTGAACTCTGTGCTTAAACAAACTTTCTAAGACAACTGGCTTTCTGCTAAGTCACAAGGAGGTTATTTCTGGCCGGCTTCCACTGTTGCATTTTCTGGGATCTACTCCTGGTAGGAATCTCAACTAGCACCTAGGTAGTCCTGGAGCCTCCCCCCCACTTCCCTGCCTGTTTCACAGATACCCCACTCACTGAGAATTTCCACAGACCCCCGACGTCATCACTCCTCTCAAAGCAGGTGGGTTCCAGCCCCTCCTCCAGACAGCTCCTGATGGAGGCCAGGCCACTGACGCCAGCTCCCACGATGGCCACTCTCTTCTTCATGGTTGCCTATGGGTGCCTGTGAACAGGTGCAGCGATCATTTCCAGCAGCATTTCTGAGGCCTTACTTTAGTGTTTACTTTTGGTTTAATGAGAAATTTTGCCTCAACAGGCATGTAAATATTTCCAAATTGTTCCAGAACTCCTCTTAGTCATCAAAGCATTTTCTGATTCTTGGAAAAAACAAAAAACAACTGAACAAAGTCATTGGGAACCTTGAGACTTGTGATCTGAATTGCTAACACTACCTGTGGTAACCTCACATTTATTTACTTTGTGTGTGGGCGGGTGTGGGCGGGGGCATGTCCACACATGTGCACAATCATGTGAAGGCAAAATGTATTAAGCATTTTGTTTCAGTCAGCTCCCCAAATTCTGAGATTAACAACTAAGCCGCACAAACATTCGCCCACACCACATACTCACAGGTATGTTATAGACACACACAGCTCCACACAAATGTTTATATGTGAATACAGCAAACTAAGGTCTCTGCTTAGATGTATAATGGCCTCTCTGCGTGAAAGGTTGGTTTTGTGGCCATCTGCACATGCTCAGGTTCTTTCTGTAAATGGCCTGGGATTTTGATCTAACCTATGCAATCCTACTGCATTCTTCAATTCATCTCTGGATTACTTATAATTTATAATATTACCAAGTCATTGGAAATACTTGTTTTGCAATATCTCTTAAAAAATAATATCAAGGGTGGCAGGAAGCCAGTGTGTATGCAATACAGATACAACTCTCATAGCCCTAACTGCATCATTGGTTCATGGGTACTCGAATTTTCATATATGAAACACGCATATACAAACATACGCTCACACACATATATACTTGCAATGCATACATGCATACACATATATACATATAACATACATGTATGCCTATGTTTATTTAACTTGACCCAAGACAGGGAATATCTATATCTCAATATGTCAGATAGTCAGTCCTTTTCCTTCCTTAACGAAAATCAAGTCATTACCTTAAACCAGTGTCTTCCCATTATTATCCATTCTCAACTCCATTCTCTTACAAGAAAATTATGCTTCCTAGTCTTTTCCTATCCTTAGTTTCTACAACTACTTCTCTATTTTTCTTTTTAGGTACAGTTCCATAGCTCTGCATACAAATTAAATACTTAGATGGTGAGAATCATGTTCTAGGATCCCCAGGAAAAATAAAAACCAAACAACTTCCTGAATGACATGCTACAGTGAATGTAGACCCACCCAACTCCCATTCACCCACCTGACCCTCCTCCACACTATGAGACCACCTCCCATACTCCCAGCCCTTTGCAATAGCTTTCCTTTTCTACCTTTTCCTTGTCTTCCTTTCTTCTGAGTGTTTAAGCCCTCAGTCTCCTGGGGAGTCTGAAAGAGAAAATGCTGGGCCCTTGATGGTAAGGGGAGTAGTATTATTGGAAAAGGGAGGAGCTTCTCTTAAAGGAATAATCCTTGTTCCTTTAGCAAGGGAGCACACACCCTAGCTCCTGTGAAGTGCAGGTCTCTGGGGCCAACCTTCTGGTCACTCAGATCTGCTTTCCTGTTAGCAGCAGTTAGCAACCTCCAGTTCTACCCCTAGGTCCTTTCCTTGGAGGTGGCAGTTTCTCCATGTTGCTATGCTTCTCTACTCTATCTCCTTATGTGTAATCCCAACGTTTACCTTATTTTCCTTATTTTTAGGACTTTCGAGGTAGCCCATGGAAACCTTCCAAACTCTACAGAAAATTAGTCACAATTGGAGATAGACCAGTAGCAAAAATAGTTTTTCTATGCTATGAAAAAAATTCTTGGCTTGCTAGTCATAGATATAACAAGTAGGTTAGACCTGGTCATGGGCTTTAGAAAAATCCTATTATTCATGAATCTTGCTGACGGTGTTGTGGGTCTTCTGTGAGGCCTTCCATGGAAACTTTAAATTTAGAGCTTGCAATTGTATTTTAAAGGAATTCCACAGGGGGAGAGTTTGTAAGTGAATGGGCCTCTTGCCATTGGAATTTACCCTCATAATGGACCTCCAGTGGGAAGAGGTGTCCACTGTACTCCATCTGCTCAGAGGGCAAGAGGCTTCCAGTGAGATAGAGACCTTACAGGAGACTGTACTCATTTTTCAAGACCATCACTGAACTGTCATCTCCACCTGTCAACCTCTCTGCCTACTTACAGACTTGTCTCAGTGTTTAACATGGCCTCTTCTCAGTCAAAGTGCACCAGAGACAGATGGTTATAGCCATGGGAGAGGGTTCTACATAAGGAGCCAAGAAGTCAACAGAATCAAGCTCAACTATTCAGAAAGTGATGAAGAATAAGCTAGCACTTAAAATCATTTATGAAACTTTGTTAGGTAGCTAACTTCAACAGGAGCTTTATTTACTAGTAATCTAATGTATCTAATATCTTTTTTTCTTTTTTGGTTTTTCGAGACAGGGTTTCTCTGTATTGTTTTGGAGGATGCCCTGGAACTTTCTCTGTTAATTGTCTTCTTATTCAGATATTCATATTCCTGAAAAATTGAAGCTTAGTTTGTTGAATATGTACTTTCCAAAAGAGCCATTCCAGTGTGAGTGTGGTCACAAAATGCCTCATAATCTAGAATAGGAGGAAAGAACTGTACTTTAAACAGTGAACTTGTACAATGACTGGCATGGTGTTAGGTCATGTTTAAAAAGTAGCTGGATGCAGAACAATGACCATTTGTTAACATCCTTATTTTAAAAGAAAACACTTCCAAGAGGAGATTAATTAGGTATGGATACACACACATTATTGCAGTTGAAATGGATTGTCAGAGTGTATTTAAATGGCTTGTATGAATTGCACAATGCACTGTGCCTGCGATGACATGCTAGCTGCGTCACATCCTTCTGCTTATTTTTCCTACCAAGTGCTGCCAAATGCTGTGCTGTGCAGATGATGGTGACACGGAGTCTTCCTCTAAGACAAATTGGCTTATGTTCATACAACAACATGAGAAACTAATACTCTAGAGAGAATGCAGCAAGGTAGCTGGCTTGTCTCTTAGGTTCTTCTGCAGGTCATGAGGGCTACTGACACCAAGGCCCACACTATTGGGCTAGAAAGATAGTCAAGTTGCCCTTGTTGATAGGTAAAAATGGTCATATCTCCAATCCTTCAATCTCTAAGTACCTCCTAAGAGAAAAGTACAGACCCCTTTTTACTTCAAACTTTATGAGATATAACAAGTTAGAGTTGCACATCTTTAAAATTTATTGGTGTGTGTGTGTGTGTGTGTGTGTGTGTGTGCATGTGTGTGTGTCTGTGTATAAAGGTGACAACCTTGGATGTCATCCTCAGTAACATTATCATATATCTCTTTTTAAGAAAGAGTCTCTCAGTGGCTTGGAACTCACTGAATAGACTACACTCTTGCCAGCGAGCCTCAAACACCTTCCTGTCTCCATTTCCCACATGTTATCACCATGCCTGGATTGTTTTTTACATGGATTTTAGGGATTCAGCTCAGGTTCTCATGCTTTCAAGGCAAGTGCTTTACCAACTGAGCTGTCTCCCAAGCTGTGCTCTTGTGTTTTAACTTTTACACTAGAAGTAGAAGACAATGGTCACCTGTCCCCTTATTACAGTGCCCTGTTTTTCTTCTTATTCATAATTATCAGTGAGTTTTATAATTTCATAGTTTCTGAACGTTTTATTTCAACTGGAAAGTTCTCACTGCCTTTTTGAAGATGAAATAGGCCCAGTAATAAGCTCTCTCAGGTTTTGTTGATTTTGAAAGTATCTTTATCTCTAGTTTATTTCTTCTGGGCAGTTGTGATTAGTATAGTGTTTTTTTCCTGACAGTCTTCTTTAAGAACTTAGAAAAGCGCCACCCTCCAGTCTCTGCTGATAAATCTACTGAAATCTTTATGGTAACTTCACTGCATGCAATGAGTCACTTTTATGTTGATGATTTTGAAGCCACATGTCTGTCTTTGACAAATGCTTATTTTTGGAGAAATGAATATATTATTTAATTCCCCCAAGGAATAGTCCATGTGTACTAAAAATCTATAATGTAGGTATTACAGCTCTAATAGATGGCTTAGAGAAATCTTCTAAAACATGGAAAGCAGACACAATGTGTACAAATGGCTATTACATTTTAATTAGAAAAATGAAAACTTATTTAAACATTCTTTTCAATATGTATGTATGTAGAGTGAAGCCTTTTCCTTACCAGCCACTTTGGTTTTTCCCCACAAGTCGCCTGGGTTCTGCCACGTTGTAGTCCCCAAATAACACATAAGACACTGTATTAATTATGAAGCTGTTGGCCTTGCTTGTTTCTTACTGGCTATCTCTGACTTAAGTATTTACCCCATAGTTGTTAATCTAAGTATATCTCTTAGCGGGGAAACGGGTCTGGGCTTCTTACCCCTATGGTGGTTACATCTTGACTCCCTGTGTTTCTCCTACCCAGAGTCCTCCTGGGCTCCTAGTCCCACCTATCTTGCTTTCCTATTGGCCAACAGTGCTTTATTGACTTATACACAGGATTTCCTCATCATCTGTAAGCACATATAGTCCCACTTACACAATTTGAAATAACCTTCTATTAAGGAGAAAAATATGGATGCATGTATGCACTAAGTTATTAATATGCTTTACCCTGGTGAGCAGGGGGTCCATATGTGAATGGAGGAAAGAGCCAAGATGAAACAACAGTCTAGTAAACAACAGAGTATAAAACATGAGCAACATATTCTCACTGGAAAAAAATAAAGCAAAATGTTCTAGAACTTAGATGATAAGAATTTGCATTTCATTCTGGAGTGAACAAGTCAGTTCAAATTTGATCAAGTTTCTCAGACAAGGTTTGACTGTGATTCACTGTGAATTTTGATTGTAGACTGAACTGTTGAGCAATACAAAGTTGAGAGCTGGATCCAATCACAAGGCCTGTGGGCTTCCTTCACTGGCTGTCCTTTGACAAGGGATAAAGCTACTTGTACTCACACTGCACATGTTACCCCATGAGCAAAAACCATAGAGAACCTGAAACTCTGAGTTCCCACGTAGAGCTTCCACAGTTGCTTCTGAGGTGATAGAGGGACTGATTATCACCAGGATGGCAGCCATCATCAGAGCCTTGCTAAGCAAGAGCCCTGTGGAATGAAAAATTTCCACTGTGACTTAGAAGATTTCTTGTCTTGGTCAGGGCTGAAAGTAGGGGCCAAGATAAACTACTGGATTTCATTCCATTTCAGAGAACCTATGAGCTGGAGCTGGTATTAGGAGCCAGGACATAGTTCAGAGTTTAATCCAGAGAATTTAGCTGCTCTGTTCCTACATTCTACATGTGGGATCTGACAGTAAAGCCAGGGACACTCCTTAAGGCTAACAGGAAGCAGAGTTGGAGACCTTTTAGCTAATGTTAGCTTAAGAGTCACAACAGATGATTTAGAAAAAGACCTTTTACTTCACATCATATAATTGTAAATTATATTTTGATTAAACTTTAATTAATATAACTAGATATTTTGGGTAAGATAATTTTTCATTTTAGTGACTTATTCTGTGATGCCTGGATATTTACCCCCTTTGGAATATAGTTGCTGATAAATGTCAATTATGCCTGCCTGACCTTAAGAAAAACATCAAATATCAAACAAACAAACAAACAAAAACATCAAACCCCTGTGCCTAGTGATTTCCAGCTGTTCCAATAAAGAAGCCTCAATATTACTAAAAATCATTTATAGGCCAACTATGTTTTTGTGTTTGGACAAAAACAAAAGCAACCCCAAAAATGAAGGACCTTTAAAAACAAAAACAAAAACAACCCCCAAAATAATAAAAATGAAGGATCTTAATTGATTTATTCAAATTGTGACTTACAAGTTCAACACATATTTCAAGACCGTGTGTCAAACACTGAAGGAGGTGGTGAGGACAAAAAGATTTATAAGATATTGAATAGAGTTTGGCCAATAAGACAGATATCGTCACTATAACACATGTACACACATATACATGTGCACACATTTTATACATTAATTTAGTAAGTAATTGTCTACAGTATACCAAGTAATGTTCTAAGAATCACTCATACCTTCCAAGTACACATAGTTAAATGCTCTCCATATTGTTTTTCCATTCTACTCCTAATTATCTGACAACAGTGTATTTAAAACATAAGACTGAGTTGTTAGTTCATTTCACTATCTCTCCCAACCCCAGGCTGCCATCCAATGGAGGAGATATATCATTTATTGACCTATATGAAGTTCAAAACTTCCTCAGACAGGCTATCATTTAAAAGATAGAATAGTTTGAAACTACCTTTAAAAAGTTCAGAGTTCATGAAAATGCTGTGTGTGGAATAAAATTGTTGTGCTAGCTGTTATTGTGGCCTTCACTACGTATTAAGCAAGTTGATTTGAAGAACAGAGTGCAATGG